AAACGTGCGCTTGCGTTAAGGTTTACCTGTTAGACGAGACGGTTGTCTGTTGCTATTTGTCGCCAATGACTGGTGTTTGTGTTCTTGTAAAATCCAACATATCTCTTGAATTACCAAAAAAGAAGTGCTGAATAATGACGCAGGACATTCTTTCTCTGCCTAGGTAAGTCAACACATTGTAAAATCTCAGTGAAAATAAAACTCACTAAATAGTGAGTATAAATTGGATTGTGCTTAATCACGTATACGATGTATTTAGCTTCTTCTTTTACATGGCGTATTCTTTGGTCCGTGCGCGATCATGGCTCTCTCCAACATCCTATCCTTTGTAGCTCTATGTAATCTTTGTTTCCCTTACACAGGGAGACACTTCTCCCAGTTCATATGCTGCCATGCATTTGCACATGGCTTATTGCTATATCAACCCCGTTCTCGTACGATTACAGAAGTTAAGCAACGAGCCTGGTCACTACCAACATGGGTGACTGTTTGGGAATATCAGGTTTTGTTTCGCTTGGATGTGTGGGTGGCGTAACGAATAACAGCTCGGGACTGAAAATCGGAGAACCGAGTTCCACTTCCGGTTAGGTTCGTTATACTCAATTTCGTGGAAATACCTTCGGGAAAGGCATGAATCCACATCATCTCCCACGGCAATGGGTTAATTACTAAAACTTGTATCAGTAAATCATTATCTCCAACAAATTCTTAAAATCGAAAATAAAATGTTTTCTGGATTTATATAACCCGCAAAAGATTGATGAGCCATAAAACACAAATAAAAATCTACTCTTCATCTATCTTACTAGTTGTTTCCCTCTCCCTATTCTTGCCTTCGTATGTCATGTGAGTGCCAAAATCTCCAAGCCGTCTTTCCACATTATGTGTTCCAGAAATTTCGTTTGTCCTTTTTGCTGCAATTTTCAGTAAGACGTCCATGTTACTCACATACTCAGTCCATGTTAATCTCAACATCCTTCTGTAGGGCCACCCATCTATTACCTCTCTTATATACAAGGATAGAAATCACGTAAGAGTTCAGGACTTTTATCGATCTTTTAAATGTTCGTGTTTATTAATAATTTGCTTAGCTTTTACGAGAGTAACAGAAGATGTGAAAAAAGCACATTGGAAGAGCGAAAAAGACTTACTTGGAAAAAGACAGATGAACTTATATAATATCAGTTCTCGTATCTTGTAGTAAGAGCTGGACAGTTTCCTCACAGATGAAGAGAAGAACCACAACAGATACGATTGGTCGAAATAAAATTAAACTTTTTTTTAATTATCACAGTTGAAAGATTACTTTATTTAATCGATTTTTCATGCTCATTGGTATTCTGAAGCTGTTTCTTTCTATCACGTCACATGTTTATGTTACCTAAGTTTTCACGTTTGATAAGTAATTCTTGTAATTATAACGTATAATAAATACAAGATATGGCATTTTTATGGCCATTTATTGTACAAAATGAAAACTATTTACATTATTCGGACTATTGTCCTCATCTTTGTCACCATATTTGTCACAACGTTTCGGCCGTTGTACGCTCCGGCCTTCTTCAGGTGGTTGGAATTTCGAACTGAACCCTTTATTTCGATCACTGGGGTAGACTGTTCTAGTTCCACGTGCCATGTTTTGATGGATGTCAGTTATCAGTTATCTCCTGCTAATTTTCCCTCTGGAAGTTCTCCACTGCCTTAACCCGGTATTGAACTCACCTTCTTTGGGTCTGTCACTGGATCTAACCAACGTCTTTATCCACTGTGCCATGAATAAAGGGTTCAGTTCGAAATTCCAACCACTTGAAGAAGGCCGGAGCCGAAACGTTGTGATAAAGATGGTGACAAAGATGAGGACAATAGTCCGACTAATGTAAATACTGAAAATGAACCCACCTTTCATGGAGCCTTTTTTGCAATGACAACAAAATACGCGTTCCATTTCATGTCGGTATTCATCTTTAGCCTCTGTTGGCATCCGAGTCAAGGAAAACTCTTTGAAGGTATGAGCACTGATCAGAATTTGGGTTAGGTTTATGATCTGTTCAGTAGTGATTGACTGTTACGAGTTTAGTTTTGAGCGTTACTAATGAGGTCAGTCAGTCTTTTCCCCATTGAGCTCTGAGACAGATCAGAGACGATGTCAGCTGCCAGGCACTTGTCATCAAGACATTTGGAAAATGATATATGCCAATCTTTTACCCATTGAGCTGTGAGAGTTAGGTCAGAGAAGAAATCAGCTGCCAGACAGTGCTCATCAAGACATTTGGGAAATGGTATATGCCAGTTTTTTTTTCCGCATTGACCTGTGAGAGTTAGATCAGGGGAAAGATCAGATGCCATACACTGGTCATCAAGATACTTGGAAACTGATATCTGCCAGACTTTTACAGATTAAGCTGTAAGAGTTAGGTCAGAGGTGAGATCAGCTGCCAGGCAATAGCCATCGAGATATTTCGATGTGCACCCATTTTATGATCAGCATATATGTTTAGTAAGGATCTGAAATTGTTTTTGAGAAGTTTGTTGATATAAATTAGAAAGATGGTTGTACTGAGGAGAAACCATATGTGTGTGTGTGTGTGTGTGTGTGTGTGTGTGTGTGTGTGTGTGTGTGTGTGTGTGCGTAATCGTAGTCTTCGGCATTAATTCCCCTTTAATCAAGTTATATTAATAACGAATGACAAGGTAATAAGATTAAGCTTTTTATTTAATTTTTCTGACATATTTACAAGAATTTTTCTGGACATAAATAGTGTAAATACTTTACCAAATTTTCTATAAATCGAAGTGCTTTCGACTATTCTATTAGCCATTATCAAGGATTTTATTTTATCTGAATATGTGGATTTTTATATATGCGTAATAATGGGAATTCTTTCTATTTTCCAAACACTACCATCACGTTGTAGTCGTGTTTATGGTTGATATTATTGAGTGTCGGTTTTACTTTTTATAATTAATTTTTTTTTACATATGGGTGAGTTTGTTCTTGTTGAGAGAGTGCATGATTTGATTAATTATTTGAAAAAAAAATAATAGTAAAAAAATAATAGTAAAAAATAATAGTAAAAACAAAAATAATACTAAAAAGATAGTAAGGACTTTAAAGTGTTTTTGGGAAGATTGTTGATATAAAGTAGAAAGAAGGTTGGACTGAGAAGAGAGCCTTTGGGGAACGCCACCCTTGATCACATGTTTCTCAGTGGACTGGCCATTATGCATGGCCTTCACAGAACTATCTGATAGGAAAAGATTGATAACTGAGAGGATTTTCCTAGTGATTCCATATTCTGTGGGAAAAGCGTGAATATATTGGGAAGTATTAACTGATAGACAGAAGAACTAAACCAGGAAAGCGAGATATATGCAAGAAGGCAATAGAAAAAAACGAGTAAGCTACTTAACCAGTTGCTGAAGATGGTTGTCATACGGACAAAGATGTATTTCCAATGTTACAGGGCAGCAAAAAGCAGGATATTGTCTTGAGCCATTATCTTCCAATTCATAAGAGGCTTTTATTTCTCGTATCTAAGAATCTAATTTCTTCTTTACGTATGATGATGGTGTTGGTGACTAAATTTGCTGCCAACGTATAGTTTCAGGGCTATAGGCTTCCAGTTTCACCAAAACTTATTCCTTAGCTGCGTTTAACTCTGCAAGAATTGGTTGGAGGGAAAAGAAAATCAGCTTAGGACAAAGTACCGATGGTGATTATTTGTTCAAGTTGGAACCCAACTTGCCAAGGAGTGACCCTTCCTCTGCAGTACATATGGATACAGAATCTATCTATAAAACTGCAACGGACTATGCCTGACTTTGTTATAATACCAAGTGGCACCTTCTGTAGTATGTCCGTGGGGCGTAGTCCTCTTCATCCGATTGTTTAAACGTTGAGACCTGTTGCAATCATCCTTGGGGTTGGTCGCGGTAAAAGGACATAGCATTGAAAATAATAAAATGCTCTTTATATTATATATTGGATAAAAATTCGTTTTATACTGGAGCTTGTTCCGGCCATTCTTATATTTGGCGCAGTTTTATGACGATAAAGTTAACATATTACATCGTTTATGCATTTTATCGAAAGCATAAAGATCGTCAGTAGACATTTTCTCGATGGAGACACGTGTCGATAAAACGCCTAAAGGAGAAGCCGTTAATTACGGGGAATGTTTTGCAGCATTCATCAGCACCCCAAATTAAATCCCTAGGGTCGCCTATCTCGATATTGAAGTTTCTCTGCTATTATTAATGTTAGATGCACGCATAATGTTTTTATTTCTTTCATTACGATCGAACTGCTTAAACCCAGTTTTAAACTAAGCCGAAATCCCTTTATGATCGAATTTCCTTATGCCTTAAAGCATATCAGACTAATGGACGCACGAAATAGATTGAAATTCTTACACACGGGAAACATTATTCGGAAATTATTAATGTAGTTCCCTGGGAAGGATCTGGGTGATATCGTTATTTGGGATATACACCGTATCTTTAATGGTTTGGTTTGTTTTACGGCATATCAACCACAAGGGGTTATTTAATGCTGACAAGATTTTTATTGTTGGTAATATTTTTTCCAAAAATCTATTGCTGGTAATAATTTTTCTTCAGACATATATTGCTAGTCTAGTTTGGTTTATTTTGTTTTACGCCATATCAACCTCAATGGGTCATTTAATGCCGACAAAATTTTTATTGCTGGTAATATTTTTTATCTATCTATCTATCTATCTATCTATCTATCTATCTATCTATTTCAGTATATATTGATTTGGATTGTTTTGTTTTACTGCCTATCAACCTGAATGGGTTATTTAATGCCGACAAAATTTTTATTCCTGGTAATATTTTTTATCTATCTATCTATCTATCTATCTATCTATCTATCTATCTATCTATTTCAGTATATATTGATTTGGTTTGTTTTGTTTTACGGCCTATCAACCTGAATGGGTGTTTAATGTTGACAAAATTTTTATTGCTGATAATATATGTTTTTTATCTATCTATCTATCTATCTATCTATCTATCTATCTATCTATCTATTTAAGTATATATTGATTTGGTTTGTTTTTGTTTTACGGCCTATCAACCTGAATGGGTTATTTAATGCCGACAAATTTTTATTGCTGGTAATATGTTTTTCTTCAAAAATCTATTTCTGGGAATATTTTTCCTTGAAGAAATCTATAGCTGGTCATATTTTTTTTCAAAGAATGTATAATTGTTTGTATTGCTGGTATTTTTTAAAAAAGTATTGCGGATAATAATTTTTCCTTCAAAGAATATTGCTGGTAATAATTTTTTTATTACAAAGTATTTCTGGTATTAAAATATATTTTTACACAAGTTTGGATGTTAACTATTTGCCCATAGCTGGGATCCTAACAGGTGCTACCACCCTGGGTCAGGGTGGATCTGAGAATACCAGCAATTAAGAGTTGGTTCCACGCTCCTCAAAACCTGACCAGAGGTCTTGCTGTTGGACGTAGTTTAACGTCTGACGCAGAACGCGAATGTAGATTATCGTCATACCCAGGACGATGTATTTCTGGCAATACTTTTTTCTTCAAAAATGCATTGATGGTAATATTTTTAACTTCAAAAATGTTTTGCTGATAATAGTTTTTTCTCAGAAATGTACTGTTGGTAATATTTTTTCCTTCAAAAAAATGTATTGCTCGTAATATTTATTTTCTTCAAAAATGTATTGCTAGTAATAATTTTTCTTCAAAAAATTTAATTCTGGTATTAAAACCTATTTTTACATTTTCATAGTGTTTTGACCTCAGTTTTTTTGTGTGGGGGCATCTATTTGTCCATAGTTGGGACCCTAACAGGTGCTACCACGCCGGGTCAGATTGGACCTGGGAACACAAGCAATTAAGGGGTGGTTTCATGTTTCCGAAAACCTCCTGACCAAAGGTCTTGCTGTTGCATATACTTTATTATCTTACCAAGGATGCGGGTGTAGTTTATCGTCATTCCCAGGACGGTCTCTTTAATGGTTACCTCCAAAACAGATGTTGAATACTATTCGTATTTTTCGTAAAATCAAAAATCTATTACAATTCATGGAATATTAATCTTTATGGAATATACGTCTTTATGGAATATTACAACTTATGGAATATTAGAATTTATGGAATATTAGATTTTATGGAATATTAGATTTTATGGAATGTTTATTCTTTATGGAATATTACATATTATGGAATATTTGTTATTACTGGAGTATTACAATTTATAGAAGATTAGTATTTATGGAATATTAATTTTTGTGAAATATTAACATTTATGGAATATTTATGAAACATTGTATTTATGAAATATTACAATTTATGGAATATTAGTCTTTATGGAATATTACAATTTATAGAATGTAAGTCTTTATGCAATATTAGTATTTATGTAATATTATAATTTATGGATTATTAGTATTTATAGAATATTACAACTTATGGAATAATTGTCTCATTGAATATTACAATTTATGGAATATTAGCATTTATATAATATTACAATTTATGGAATAATATTTTTTATGCAATATTAAAATTACGGAGTATTTGTATTTATGTCTTTGTGGAATATATATATGGAATATTACAATTTATGAAATAATAGTCCCATGAAATATTACAATTTATGGGATATTAGTCTGTATGCAATATTACAATTTATGGAATATAAGTCTTTATGGAATTGTAGTATTTATGGAATATTGGTATTTATGGAATATTACAATTTATGGAATATTAGACTTTATGGAATATTAGACTTTATGAAATATTACAATTTATGGGATATAAGTCTTTATGGAATATTAGTATTTTTGAAATATTAGTGTTTATGATGAAGTAGAATTTATAGAATATTAGTCTTTATTGAATACTACAATATTTGGAATATTAATCTTTATGGAATATTACAATTTATGGAAGATAAATTTTATGGAATAGTAGTATTTATGGAATATTAGTACTAATGGAATATTAAAATTTATGGAATATTAGAACTTATGGAATAATAATCTTTATTTAATATTAGACTTTATGGAATATTACAATTTATGTAATTTATAGAATATTGGTACTTATGATATATTAGTGTTTAGGGAACATTAAACTTTATAGAATATTAGTATTTATGGAATATTACAAATTATGAAATATTAGACTTTATGGAATATTAGTCTTTATGGAATATTACAATTTATGGGATATTATTATGATGGAATACTATAATTTATAGAATATTACAACTTATAGAATATTAGTCTAATGGTATATTACAATTTATGTAATATAATATTCATGGAATATTACAATTTATTGAATATTAGTCTTTATGGAATATTACAATTTATGGAATATTACAATTTATGCAATATTACGAAATATTAGTATCTATGGAATATTGGTATTTATGGGATATTAGTCTTCATGGAATATTACAACTTATGGAATATCAGTATTTAGACGTCCTATAGCGGCAAAAAAAAAAACAAGAAATTTTGCAGATAAAGAATAAATGGACCAATTCAAATTTCCAAGAAGCGTCTAACAGAAGAGTAAGGATTGTGTTCGACTTTGCTATTCAGCATTTGACATCCAAACTGCCTTTCATTTTTCTTTCTTAGAATTTCTAGCAGCAAAGTTAAAAAATAGTCTCTACCATTTACCTATAGTTGCTGTGTTTGGAGCTTACCACACTCCAACTACATTCTCTTTAGAAGATAAAAGCCCATCGAAAGTGGCCACTTTCTCGGTAGAGACCTACAGACACGACCACTGTTTGTGACTTGCGTGGAAACCTAACCTGTGTCTAACTTTATGATTCTAGTGTAAACTGTGTCTGAGTCTGCCGTTTTTATTCTTATGAAAACTGGACCTATGTCTCCTTATTTGACCCGTGCTAACCAGACCTGTGTCTGCCTTTTTACTTTAGTGTATTGTCAAACTGATTTGTGTCGACCTTTCTCTTAATTCATTATAATTTTTGTCCTATGAAACTTATATTCGACATTTAATAATCAAACAGGAAGTTGATATATCGCCGAATTAACCTACCTAACCTAAATCTAGTTACAAAAGATTGAAAGAAATAAAAGGCCATAATTTATTTTGGCTCGAGCCGGGAATAGTCACCCAACAAACGGAGCAGAAACTGAAATGTAAAAGATGGCCTAATGTTTATTTACTCGAATTAACTCAAATATTAAACTTAGGTTTCTGTCAGAAAGAAATTCAGCTAGGTAGTGCTGATTCTATAGACTACCGAATTACTTAGATGTCTACGTAGACTGAAATGAATGATTACTAAACTTACGGTGTATCATATTGCCATATTAGTGGGAAGAATAGTCTGATGTGCCAATCTTCGAAATTTTGAAAACACATTCAATCTTAAAATATGCGTTTGCATGGACTTGTACATGGCTCAGCGAAACCGGTAAGAAATCCAATTTATCATTCTCTAAATAAATAAATAATCTATAATAAGTACGTCGCATGCACATAATCAAGGGTTTTGCATAGGGTCATATTATGGAGTTTCAGTCTTCTTAGAATTAAAATGACGGATAACCCAGAAAATGTCCATTTTAAATCCTTTACCATCACTCGAACTCCAGATTTTAGCGGGACGTACCTAACAATTACAACCACGAAGCAAACAACAGATATCTGTTCTACTGCTTCTGCTATGTCTTTCGAAATGCTTGATTGAATTTAAGAAGAAGGATCTGCAATGTTATTGGTCCTGACATAGCATCTCGGCTTCAGTTACTCTCTCACGCCCAAAACCTGGCTTACCTGTCCTTATAACTTTTCCTCTTTATGTAGACTTTCTGAATTTAAGCTCATTACTAGAATGGCGGACAGGGCTCATCATTTTACAATTGAAATGGCTAGATGTAACCGTCAGGTCTATGCTAACAGTTTCTTCTCTCGCAGTTCTCGCTAGTGGAAATCACTTCCGGCTACTTACTTTCCAATCAAGTTTGATCTTCAAAAATTTAAATGCAGTCGTAATTGTTCTAAGGGATAAGCTTTCTGACCATTACATCACCTCTTGGTGCACCTAGACTCTCTCTCTCTCTATATATATATATATATATATATATATATATATATTGATGCAAACCGACTTTGCATTTCCCAACTCCCATCGATAGTGGAAATAATCGATTTTTTCATGCTTCTACGGCAGTTTTCATGTAGTTTGCGGCCATTTTCTACTGGCCATAGTGAGAGCTTATAGCTGGCTGCCACGAATAGGCAGGAGGATTCTATTGGCCAGCATGAGAGCCAACAGCTGACTGACACGAATGTTAACTAGCATGCTAGCATGCAAAAAAAATCGATAGCTGCATTCGTCACAAGTGGGAAAAATTTAAATTTGCATGGCACTTTACTCCAATTGGCTCATTCGCATGCTTAAACTGAACGTTGATTCTGATTCCGCAGAACTGGGTTGGGTGTGAAAATGTATTTGTTGTTAACATTCTTTTTTCATTCGGTTCTTCCAGTCACGAGTCCTTTTTTTAAAGCTGATCGTTTTGTGTTCATTTTATTTAGTTCTCTTTTCGTAACAGATTTAATGTTTAGTATAGAGCTTAGAAAACATTCGCAGTGTGAGATAGGCAAGAAGTAAGGCATGTAGAAACATCAGCACGGCAAAGGGCACTCCTTTAAAGGCAAGAAAGGACAAAAATATTTTAAGTCAAGTGATAGCGATTGTTGTATGAGTCGTACGGTTTTTGAATCAAGTACGGGCAACGCCGCGCCATGCTGCTAGCCATTGCTATAATTTATGTAGAAAAATGATGCATTTCAATATTACTCAATGATCCCCACACTCTCATGCCTGATTTCATTTCCCTTTTCCTTCATTTTTTACTGTATGACTTCTTCTTTTGCTTCTTCTTTTTGCCTTCTTTCCGTTCTCTTTCTCTCTTTCACTATAGACATGTGTCTTCTTCCATTTCGACCATTATTCCTTTTTCTCTTTCCTGGAATATATCTGCCTTCCTGATGTTTCTCAACTAATCCAACTTCTCGATTTTCCATCTTTGTTTCTTTGTTCTTTTTTCTGTTTCTTTTACATCTCTCTCTCTCTCTCTCTTTCTCTCTCTCTCTTTCACTGTAGACCGCATTCTTCATTTTCTTCATCTTCTTCTTTCAATCTAGATCACCTTGTTTTTTTCAATGTAGACCACCTTCTTCTTCCACTTCTTCGTCTTCTTCTTCTTTCTGTCTTGATCAACTTCTTTCTTCAATGTAGACCACCTTCTTCTTCTTCTTCTTCTTCTTCTTCTTCTTCTTCTTCTTCTTCTTTCCTGAAATATACCTGCCTCCCCAATTTTCCTCGTCTAATCCAGCTTCTCGGTTTTCAGTCTTCTCAGGTCTCCACTTTCTGGACTCTCCATCTTTTTATTTCTCTTCTTTGTTTTTTCCTTTTTTATGTTTCTTTTACATCTCTCTCTCTCTCTCCCTTTCATTGTACACCGCCTTTTTTTCTTCTTCCGCTTTTTCAGTCAAGATTACCTTTTTTCAATGTTGGGCTTCTTCTTCTTCTTTTTCTTCTTCTTCTTCTTCTTCTTCTTCTTGGAATATACCTACCTTCCCAATCTTTCTCGTCTAATCCACCTTGTCGGCTTTCAATCTTCTCGACTCTCCATTTTCTCGACTCTCCATCTTTCTTTCTTCCCTTCTCCACCTAACATATAAATAAGCTCAATCACTCTACCGAAATATTGTCACAGGCAGAAGGTCTTGTATAGGTCAGTCCGATTTCAACTAGTGATCAGCCGGTAATTGTTCCTGTGAGTATCAGGCTGGTCCTTTCTGTAACACTCTCACGCCAACCCTCCCACAGACTTATCAAACGGAAACCCGCTTCAGGTCCGCCTTTGATACAACTCCTCTGTCCAAGCGACCACCTGCAACCTCGAATTGCCACTTAAACCACACGGCTTATCTCCCAAAAGGATATCCGCCATTAATTGTCCAAATTGTCTAATCTTGTCACAAGTCTTGATCTGATACATCGGTTGTAATCGATACCGGACGAACTAGACGAATAGCAAAGGTAATTGCAAGGGTCTCTCTATTTTCTATCCAGCCTGGCCTAAAATGCATTTCCCCCTCTGCCTTTCTCATTTTATCTATTTAACCCTGTTAGTGATATCTGTCATCTGAGCATCATTTCTTTGCTTATCGTCCTCCCCCTCCCAGTATTTGTCACTAAAAAAACACGTCTAACCCTTTATTGACACAAGGTCTCACTTCTTGTTTCTTTCTTAATCAGTTCCACTTTTTTCCTTATTCAGTTTTCTTTTTTCATTTTCCTTTCATATTCACTCTTTGCTTTCACTTGATTATTTTTTAGGTTATTTTCGCTCGTGAAAATTCTCTTATTTTTTGTTGCTCTCTACGATTTTTATTTTCTTGTCTTGCGCCATTTTTTGGTTCTGTCTTTCCTAAACATTCTATATTTTTCACTTCTTTTTTCTCGCTTAATTAGTTTACATTTCTCGTATTCATTTTTCATTTCATCTTCTTTCTTTTTTAATTTCTTTCTTTATTTCTTTCTCAATTTCTTAATTGGTTTCTTTCTTAATTTGTTTCTTTCTTTCTTAATTTCTTTCTTTTTTCTTAATTTCTTTTTTTCTTTCTTTCTTTCTTAGTTTCTTTCTTTTTTTAATTTCCTTCTTTCTTTCTTTCTCAATTTCTTAATTTCTTCTTTTCTTAATTAGTTTGTTTGTTTCTTTCTTTCTTTCTCAGTATCTTTCTTTCTTAATTTCTTTCTTTCTTAATTTCTTTCTTCATTTCTTTTTTCATTTCTATCTCAATTTATTTCTTTATAACTTTGTTTTTTTCTTTTTCTTTTCTTACTTTCTTTTTTCTTACTTTCTTTTTTCTTACTTTCTTAATTTCTTACTTTTTCCTTAATTTCTTTCTTTCCTTCCTTTCTTCTTTCTTTCTTTCTTTCTCCTGTTTTTTCTTTATTTTATTTTCTTCAAACGTTTTTTTTCATTTTTCTCTTCCGTTTCTATATTTTTCTTTTCTATTTTTCCACCATTTTTTTTTCTTCGATCATATTTTTCCGTTCGTCTTTCTTAAATTCATCTGTTTCTTTTTTTCTTCTTATTCATATTTCTCATTTATTCGATTTCTCCTTCGTTCTTCTGATTCTCTTTCGTTAAATTCCGTTAATTTTATCGTCATTCTTTCCTTTTTTTTTTGTTTTCCTCTTTCCTAATATTTTCACTATTTTTCAATTTATTTCTCATTCAATCAATTCATTTTTTTCTCTCATTTCTTTTTCTTTTTCTTCTCGGCTATTTATTTTATATCTACTGATTCTCCGCCCCCCCTTTTTTTTACTAATTACCAAATACAAGGCCCAAGAGCCACCAAAGGTAGATTTTTACTGAAGGAGGTTGTTGTATGAGTGTAAGAGGAAGAGGTAAAAAGAGCTGATCATGAAAACTGGTAGATAAGACAAAGGTAGCTCCTAGACTCGTAGAGGTTGAGATTGTACAGATCCTCTCTGGAATCCGTTCCACAATTCAGCGACTCTCGTGAAGAAGCTGTCCGTATGAAACTTCCTCGTTACTAATGGAATACGAAAGGAATGACGGTGTGTCACTGTACATGCGAGTTGCAAGTGTCTGAGTTAATGCAACTAATGAATACAATTCGTCAGTCCATTTTTCATAACACTAGTGATAGATTAGAGGCTTGCGACGTTACGTTTATCGGAAAGTGGTAGTTGAATGAAAAATAATACATCAACCACATTTTTTGCTCTGATCAAGTTCTTGTAAAGATAGACCACAGCAGAAAGAGTTAGGTGTTTTCTTGTACGGTACAAGGAATCGGCCATTCTGCCACCATTATTTAGCAATTAATTTTATAGTATTCTGTATCTTTTTCGACGGTAGCGTCAAAAAAACATTTTTGTCTTTTCTGAAACTATTTGTATTTTGCTCATAAAGCTTTACACCAATATTCATTCATTTTTTTTTTAGAACTTTTCCTGATTATCTCAGAGATATATGTTTCTTTGGATCTGATCTCAACTAATTTTCAAATTCAGTTCTATGTCTTGCTGTTGTATATATTTTTCTCTTTCTTTCCCGCATATCTTTTGCTATTTATTTATTTACTAATGTATCCGTGCCGCCAAAATTGACAACAAAAATGAATGTATTATAAGTAATATGTATTATATTGTAAGTAATTTTCGTTTAAGCCAGTGATTCCCAGCGTGGTACGCATTCCCCTCCTGTTAGGCGGGGTAATATTTTGGTGAAGCATGCGTATGATGTGTACCCTTCGGATTACTATACCAACAGAATAAGCGGGCAGTTAGAGAATGAGTCATTAACAGTGAATTGTTTTATAGTTAGCTCAAAATTCATTTTGCAATATTATTTCATGATTAAAATAATCAAAGTATATTACAGAATAAGATTTCATTCAAATATTTTATATTTCTACCTTTTTTATATATATTTTGAAACTATATATATATATTTAACTGTCTTGTTTTTTTAATTATTTCTCTTTCATGGACGCCATGGTCTTTGGAGGCTTGTTTATCTCTATAATTGAAGAATAAATCTCAGCCTGATTTGCGGTGTGTCTATGAAACTTGAAGCCGGAAAATGGAGTTAACAATGACTATAATCTCTACTACAATCGGTCTACAACTGCTTTAATATTATTATTATTGTTGTTACTAGTGTATCCTTGCCGTCAAAATTGAAAATAAGGAATGTATAATAAGAAATATGTATTGTAATTTTCATTTAATCTAAGTAGAATTTTGTAACTTAAAATAGATCGTTGTTAACGTTAATAATTGAACAGTGTACAATTTCTAAACACATATGGAAAGATATCCGTATTTTATCCTCATAAATGTTACATATTTACAATGAACATTATGCTTACTGATGAAGTTCCTAAAGCACAATATTTTTTGTGTAAACATTGGAAGGTCTGAGTAATACTTGACAGTCCATAGATTCAATCTATAATTTCAGAGTTTCTCGTCCTACTAAGATCAACGTATATATATATATATATATATATATATATATATATATATATATATATTACAAATTAACTGATTTAAAAATATGGTTCCTTCGCTACACAGGAATTACCATGTTTCAAAAAGCGAAGCTAAAATCTCAAATTTAATTATATAATTAAAGCATTAGTTCTGTCTCATCTTCAAGTGAATTTTGGAATAACTCATTTTAAAATTTACTGAATTTGAATTTAACGGAAAAAAGATTCTATTTTGGCAGGCTCTTGAGTCTGTCGTTGGTTGAGTTTTTAGTATAAAAGGTAGGTGATTTGCCAAGATTCATGTAAAAGTTGAAACAGCCATGGAGCTCAAAACTGAAAACCATTGCAAAGATTGCAGTTTCGTTCCAAGAAAACGTCACCAAACGTCCTGGGTATGACGATAAATTACCTCAATGAATATATATATATATATATATATATATATATATATATATATATATATATATATATATATATATATATATATATTCCTATTAATATGCAACAAAATAAATAAATTTGCTTGGAAAATTTTGAGGAGGATGGAACCACCTTTTGCTTGATGTTGTTCTCTGATCTATCTTGACCCGGTAGGGGGTAGCTCCTGTTAGGGTCCCAGATATAATAGTTAACCCCAAAACTGGGTTCAAAAACATTATGGAAAAAATATTACCAGGAATACATATTTTCAAAAAAAGAAATTACAAGCACTAAATTTTTAGAAATATATATATATATACACACACACGCACACGCACACACACATGCACGCACACACACACACACACACATATTATAATAAAAAAGAAAGAACAGTAATATGTATAATCCGGTGTTCTTACTGATATTTTTTATTTTTACAAAACAGTGTTCAATGTAAATTTACAGAGCATAAATATTATAAATTATCTGATTTAGTATATGGTTTCTTCGCTACACTGGAATTACCATGTTTCAAAAACCGAAGCTAAAAACTTCAAATTTAATTATATAATTAAATTAAAAGCATCAGTTCTGTTTCATCTTCAAGCAAATTTTGGAATAGCTTATTTTTTTAATTTACTGAGCACGAATTTAACGGAAAAAATGCCGCAAAACTTTTTGTCGCTGATAAAAAAAAAAAACAGACGACATACATTGAACGGATCTCAAAATTCACTGAAATATACACCCCTACCCTCCCTAAACTTAACCTCTTTTTGGAACGTAACTCATAATTGATACAACAATAGTTAATAAAAATGAACACGCTACAGCTCCTGTCTAAATGATTGGATTTCTCAGTATCCTTGGAAACAAAAAAATTATGAATTGTATGTGCGTCTAAAACTCAGTAAACTTAATGGAGACTGTTTCTTGAAATGAAAAAGTGAATTGCCTTCACTGTCACAATTTCAAAATATTCTAGACACATCCAGGCATAATTTAACCTTATATATTTAATAGGGATTTAATTCGGAATTGCTGATTTATTTCCTATTTGATCTTCATACAAATAATAATCTAGTTGTGAAACTAATAAATTCTTTTTAGGAATAGAAATGAATTGTAGTCATTTAAACATGTCACATTATGCTAACTGTCACATTGATATCTTGATGTTTCTGAAATGCATCATTATGAAAACACAGCATGG